TAATTTACTTATTTGTCAATGAACTAAATGAATGTTTATTACTAGTTATTGACAAATTAATCTAATTTTCAGGTACTTCTATCTGATGAGGTTTGGAAAATTCTGTAAATGAATTTTCCCACCTCCTTATCCTGCAAAGGACAAAACTATCGGTAAGTTGCATGAAATTCAAATAAATTTTGAATTCAAATATGATATGGTGATACATAATATAACAAGTTTTTTTTCTCTAATTATAGGTTGCACTCCTAGAATGAGAGCTAATTCTATCTTGGGTCTATCAGATTCAAATGAGAAGGTATCAAAAAAAATATTTCTTATGTCAAACCTTGTGTTATCAAGCCTCCAGAAGTTACCGTTTTGTAATTCTTTTTGTAATAATTATAAATATATATGTAAACAAATATTATATAAAATTTCCTACAGATAGAGAGAATGAAACTTCAATCCAGAAAAAAGAACCTACAAGAATTCCTCAGAAAAAACAATCACAAGTGGTTAGTATAAAAATATATACTAATATATAGGCAGTATATTTCTAGCATATATATGATATGTATGTGTGTATATATCTATCTATTACATATTTCTATTTTCTTATATCTAATCAATTTTGAACAGGTATTCGTCGAGAACTTAGAAAGTCTGCATCACAGCCATTGTTGACACCAAAAGCTAAAATTGATAAACCTAAACCATTTGTAAAAACTAATCTTTTGCAGGTGAGTTGCTGTTTTATGAAATGGCCGTATGTTTTAGATAATATTTTAGAGTTAATATATATTTATATAGTATATAGAGATTAGTAAGATAAATAAATAAATGTAACTTTTTTGTAATGTACTATCATGTTTAAGCACTTGGAATATATATATATATATATATATATATATATATATATATAATATGAATTTTTAACTTCCCGTAGGGTAAGTTAGCAAAAAATCGAAAATGAAAATTTTTATATATCTTTACGTTTCAGTGGTTTCTGAACATTTTGGCATACCTTAGAAAAATGTGATGTATGTGGTGTGTGTGTGTGTGTTGTGTGTGTGCGTGTGTGTATGTATGTGCGGATACAAATTTTCGTCGACGATTTCGGGAACACGGATCAACCGATTTGAATAATTCAAAAACATTCGATTCGTATTGATAAGGAGACGTGCTGATTAGTTTTTGGCGAAGGCAGGTCTAGCCGTTCCTGAGATACGGGGCAAAAAGTGCCGAAAACGGTAACTCAGTTTTTAAGAGAACGGAGCGTCCGATTTCAATATTCAAAAACATTTTACTTGTATTGACAAGATAAAGAATTGATCAAATTTTCATAAAGGCAGGTCTAGCGGTTTCGGAGATCTAACGAAAAAAGTAAAAAAAAATGCCATTTGGCGGTCAAAAATGATCATTAGACATATGCACATCAAATTGTCAGATATTTTATAGAGAATTTAACAATAAGTATAAATTTGTTTATTTTTCTATGGGTTCCGTATCAATGTTTACCCGTTAGACAGCGACGGCCGCGCTTACGCGCTTCATATTTTGTCTCTATGCAGTTAAAAGCAGTACGATTGCTTTGAAAAACAGTTCAGATCTTCCAAAATATGTCAAAATAAAAAAAAACATTTTTTTTTCAAAAAAAAAAAATTTAAAAAAAACATTTTTTTTTTTAAATTTTTTCAAAACAAAATTTTTTTTTCAAAAAAAAGTAATTTTTTTTCCATTTATAGTTTCTCAAAAATCTTATTTTTTCTAAGTAAATTTTTTTCAAAAATGTTAATCGTTTTTAAAAAAAATAATGATTTTTGGTACGGGAAGTTCCAGCAATTTGCCTTAAGGCACGATGCCCTAATTGCCTTAAGACAGAATTCCACTTACAGCTAGTTTATTTTTAGATCAATCTGGAAATGATACTAAATATGTCTCTCGCCTAAAATGCCAAATTTTGCATTAATCCATAACAAGAATTTTAATAAAATGGAATCTGTAGATGAGTATGCCAAAAGAAAGGAGGCGCGAGCTAAGGACCTAATGACGCCAAGTAAGTTCATAAAAAGTTTTCTAATCAATTTTCATAAATTTATTTATAATTTTTATGTAGAATCTGAAAGAAGAATAGCAACTAAGATCAAGAAAACGCCTGTTGCTAATACTAAGCTCGAAAATAAAACGGTATTCGATTTTCGAGGTATTAAGAAAAATGAAGCTATTAGTCGACATGAAAAGCATGTAGATATGGCTAAGAAGATTTTAAAGAAACCCGTTGACTTTTCAACAAAGCGGCAGCAAATGTTGAAAGGGGTAAGATTAAATAAAATTTGATCTTCAACTACAATTCAGACAAGGGATATGAAATATTTATTGTTATTTTTATATGAATTTTATATTTATTTGGATTTTAATCATTTTTACTGGTCATGAAGCTTGCATATAAATGAATTATGTAAGTTGAAAATATTAAAAAATCTCCAGTTTTGTATTTTTTATATTTTTACCTGATATTTTTAAAGTATATGAATGCTTTCAAAATCCCAAACATGTGCCTATAAATAGATATTTTTATTTTTGTGATAAGATATATTTTATGTGTATAATATATGTTTGAATGAATATTTTAAAAGTTTAATTATTCCATGATCTGATCTGCAATAAATAATTGTGTTGCAACAGCATTCAGTATGCATTTCAATTTGAAATTAAGAAAAAATTTAACTGTCCTGGAACGAATTAATGGCATTTCATTAAGATGAAATAAAAACTTGTTCTGTGATAGTTTCTCCTACTTTAATTTGTACTGATTTCACTGGGAGTCCTTATCCCGAGCATTAAGAAGCCAAGCATGAGTTGTTATAAATTTCATTTCAACCCACCACAAAATTACATAAGAAAAATATCTGAACATAACCATAGATACTTATATTATTATCTAAGATCACATATATTGCAAATGTATCATAATTATTCTCTGCACAAATAGATACATTTATTTGTCATTGATAAAATTAAGAGTAATCCAATTCAAGAGCAATTTCATTATCTAAATTGTTAGTTTTTTTTTGATTCTTAAAAATATTAAATTTGTGTCGACGCGTGTGACGTGCTAAATCGCTGCTTGAAACAAATTTCATATCACAGTAGGAACATGAAAACGGGCGTTCAAAAGTATGTGCTCGCCTTATGTGTTCATTCATATCGCCTGAAGATCGAAAACGCCTGGAAAAATAATTTATTAATAGCAATTAGATGAAAATCCATAAGGAATTGCATATATAATTTTTTCTCTGTTTACCTTTGACAATAATTACAAACATAAGGTAGTTCCCCATTATGTATCCTTTGATGAGTTCTTAGTGCACTGCAATGTGTAAAACCCCTTCCACAGTTTTGCAAACATGCTCTTTTAAAACCATCGTGTGTCTTTTCATGAGATGCTAATGAACCTTTTTCATGAAATGATTTTGAACACCTTGTGCAATGATATTTCTTTTCATCATTCTCTAAATCATTTACAGGTGAATCAAAATTGGCAGTATTATCTGCGAAATAATATTATGATATGTAGCACAGTAGACAATGGGAAGAATTAATTAAATTCGTTTTGTTTTACCCTGAAGAATTATTTGATTTATTTTGGCTTTTTCTATGAGTTCTCATATGCGCTGTCAATTTTGCTGGTGTGGCTACTGCATGCCCGCATTTGCAAATATATTTTCTGAAAATTGATTTAAAATAGTTATGAATAAATTAATGCAATAGGAAATAATATTTGATAGATAATTATTAATTAAGTTCAATTTCACATTGACTATATGTTTTCTTATCTTTTAAGAAAAGATATTTGATTTGAAATTCAGGTGAAAAATGTTTGAAATCAAAAATCTTACTTTGGTCTGGTCTTTTTTGTTTTTAAATCTAATATGTCCTGCTCCAGATTTTCTAAACCAGATGAGTTGTGATGGATTTTCTGCATATGCAAATATAATTTCAAATTTGAGAAGAAAGTAGCCTCGCATATGTTACATGTTAATTTTGTTTTGGCATGTGATTTCATATGTCCAGCTAGACCGGTCTTTTCACTAAACTGTTTGTTGCAAATTTTGCAAAAAATTGCTTGTTCATTATGAACCTTTTGCATATGAGTGATCATAGCACTAGAGGACATAGTAACAGCACAAACACGGCATTTTATTTTAACATTTTTCTTTCTTATAGGAGAAACATAAGTATCAATATCTGTCAATTTTTTAGGCAGTCTTCTCGTTCTTCGTTTCAATATTTGATCAGATTTTGATTCAAAATTTAAATCTATGTCTGTGAATTGGTCTAAAGTTCTTTCAGGACTTAAACAATTCTCATTAAAATATTCATATGGAGAGTCTGTGCTTTCATAAAAAACATTACCGGATATATTTATTTCATAACTAGCATGTGATATAGGAGGACTATTTCCCAATATGGTATTTGAATGTTTTAGATCATTTTCGCTTTGCCCAACTTCCATTTCAGCTCCTAAATTCTCAGATATTAATGGTTCCATTTTGTAAATATTACCTGAGTGATCTGAGTTTAAAGGATCTTTTTTCATTATGTAGCCCATACTTGGATTAATATTTAATTCTTCTATATCGTTATCACTGATTTCCTTGTTATTGTTTTGAACAAGTTCTCTTAATAGTAGGTCGGAATATTCACATTGCTGTTTGAATTGGTAAGCAATGTTTACTTTATCTGCACATTTGTTGCATATTAATGTAGGTAAACCGTCTCCTTTAATAACCTTGGATGGAATAAAATCATTCATTAAGTTACAGAATAATTAATCATTAATTTAGTTCCAATTAAATATAAGATGGAGAAAATAAATTACTAAACTTAAAATGAAACATATGACTTAAAGCCACCTTGAATTTCTTGGTGAATACTTATTATATGAAGATAACTCGTATGCACATTAATATGCTTTTGTTAAAATAAATATGTTCATTATACAGTTAATTGAATGTTTAATATTTTCTTTAAATGTAGGTCGGCATTAATATCTTATTTTGACTTATAATTAAGCTTGAAATTAATTTTAATGTAATCTACCTTTACTTGTGCACAAGCCATTATTTTCTCTGATATATGAACTGAATAATCATCATCGAAAATTGATGTTAAAATATCATACACTCCGTCCTCCATACAAACTCTACAGATTTTTGACAAATTATTTACCATTGTCATATCTGCAATAACAATTTATTTTAAAAATGATAGATAAGTGATTTCAAAACGTCACATAATGTTTATTAAATAAATGATCATTGATATTCTGGTCAACTATAAAGAAGCAAAAACAATGTGTTTGACAGATGATTTAAATTCCACCTTGCGCGTACAGATGGCGGTCGTTTCGGTTTTAATGATAGTTGGAGCAGGTGCCGGTAACTGTCATCACGTTTGGCAGTTGTGCAAATTGTAATAATTGTAACTTGTCAGATAAATGTAAAAGTTTCCAGTGATTTTTAACAAGTGAAAATTTAATGATTTTGATGCAGGGGTCATTAACCACAAGTAAAGCCCGTGCACACGACGCCAGTATTTATTTATACAGGATTCCTGTCAAGTTTTCTGGTAAGGTGAGCAAGAATTTTGTGCCAGATTTTCACTTATTTTATGATTAATAATAATTTTGAGCATTTTCAAATATACACTGTGAATTTCACAATTCATATTTTATCGATTTTATAAGTACAGAGCATTGTATGAAATGTAAACAATAAATATATGTATAGTATCCACAGGGCCGGATTTAGAAATTTGGCGCCCTGAGGCACTGACAAAAATGCCGCCTCATCCCTGAAATTTTACTTAAATTGTTTTTATATAATATTCCCGTACCAAAAATTAAAATTAAAATTTTTGAAAACTTAAAAAAAATCAATTTTTGAAAATTTTGAGTTTTTTTTATATTTCGAAATTTCTTGCAGCGCCATTGCTTTGAAAAAAGTTTATAGTTTTCAAAAAATTTCAATATAGATATAAAAAAAGGATTTAAAGGGCACTTTTTTCATTTTTCTAAAAATTTAAAGTTCTTTGTAAAATGTAATTTTCAGTACGAGAAGTTCCAGTAATTTGCAGTAATTACTGGAACAATGCCATGCGTCACTAATGCACTAATGCACAATGTCGTCTTAAGAGGGCTCGAAATCTGAAGAACATATTTTCTTAAACTTTCAGGTCGATTACGAAACTTTATATTAGCTAAATTGCCAAATTTGATAATAACTTATTAACCAATTTCATAATTTACGTTCGAAGAGGGAGGCAAAGCAAAATGATAAATTTTAATAATCGGCTATTTGAACCCAAATTTTGCATTGCAATCGTATTATGTTTTATATAAATTAACATAAGTTAATTATATTTCTTGAAATAAAAAATGTTATTAAAAAAATTAGTTAATTATGTCTTTCATGAAGTATACGTTTATAATTATTGATCATTTGTAAACTGTTCTTGAATCATGTTAAAATTATCACTACTTTTTTTTAACTTCCCGAAGGAGAAATTTGTTTTCCCGATTTTTTGACCCGGATTGTCGCGGTTTTTCGAAAATTAATAGCTAAATTAACAAACGTTATGCAAACAAACGAACAAATGCTAAGTTTTCCAACTAACTATGAAGAAAATTGAATAGAACATATAGATCGTAAAATATAAGATATATTATACGATAATATCATAGATAAAAAAGTATTACATATAATCGAATAACAAAGGTCTTACTAAAAGTGCGCAATTCTTAGTAAAAACTAGTGGGACGCATGACATCTTAAGGCAAATTGCTGGAACTTGCCGTACCAACATTTTTTTTTTTTAAAAAGATTAACATTTTTGAAAAAAAATTACTCTGAAAAAATTAGATTTTTGAGAAACTATAATTTCTCATATTTATATTTTTATTTTATTATTTTTAGTTTATATATAAATTTTGATAAAAATTAACTTTTTTTTTTAAAAAAAAAATAGACTTTTTAAAGAAAAATTTCATTTTGAAATATTTTGGAAATTCTGAACCTTTTTTCAAAGCAATCGCACTGCTTTAACTGCATAGAGACGAAATATAGAAGCGCGTAAGCGCCGCGTCGCCGTCTAACGGATAAACATTGGCACGGAGCTCATAGGAATGTAAACAAAATTTATACTTATTGTTAAAATCTCTATAAAGTATCTGATAATTTGATGTGCAGATGTCTAATGATCATTTTTGACCGCCAAATGCCTTTTTTTTTTTTTTTACTAGATATCCGAAACCTTTAGACCTGCCTTCTTGAAAATTTGCCTTCGCCAAAAACTAATCAGCACGTCTCCTTATCAATACGAATCGAATTTTTTTTTGAATAATTCAAATCGCTTCATTCGTGTATCCGAAATCGTCGACGATTTTTGCCACTAGTTTTTCATGTTCTACTGGCAAAATATCAGTAGATATTATATCATCTTATAATCACTGCCTACATATTGTTGTTGTTTTAAATATTTTGCATTTCTATAAACGCCCGATAGAGTTTTTTCAGTATAGCCATTTATAATTAATAAATGTTATTCGTTAATTAGTTTCAAAATTTGAATTGGCATAAAAAAACTTCTCCAAGTGTTTTGCTGGATTCACCTAATTTGGTGGGGTCATCGTTTAAACAGCTTATAACACTATTCCACCACATTCCTTTATAGATACATATATAGATAAATGTATATAATAGTATAGAACAGTATTAATATTTATATGTATTTTTTCAAGTTAAATTAATATTCAATTTTTATCGCATCATTAGACTAGTTATGACCAAAAAGTATTTGAAGAATTTTAAGATCCTGTTTCGTAATATGCATATCGGTACATCCTCACACATAAATAAATTTATATATATATATATATATATATATATATATATGTATATATAAATGAATATTTATGTATAAATTAATAGATCAATCGCATATTTTATTGTGTCGTATAGTATGGAGGCGCCAGACATATTTTGAAATAACAAACAATAAAAATTAAACCGGTTCTGGAACTTATATATGATATGCACACATCTATATATTATATATATATATATATATATATATATATATATATATATTGCTATACCTAAATATATACATATATAATATATGGAGCGTTGACTAAGGCAACATAAAAACATGAGACGGATCTTGATAACAGTAAATTTCAATAAGTACGAATAGGTATCAAACCTGAATTGTGGTCAGAACTTGATTTTGCATCCACGGGTTCCACATTCGTTACTAACTTCGGCCAGCTTGATATCAAGCAGTGCTGATATCAGTTTTCACTTGAAATTCAAAATCTAAAATATGATGAGTAAAAATAGCAGTAAATGCTATTAGAAATAGAATGATTGATTACTCGATTGTCTTCTATATAATTAGATTAAGAATTTACATCACAATAGCCCATAAAATAGCAGTTCTAAATGCTATTGAGAAAAATGTTCAATAATTAAGGATTTGAAACGATATACTTGGACTTCACTGATCAGTAAATTTCAATAAGTACGAAAAGGTATCAAACCTAAATTATTGTGCATTTGGGGTAAGAACTAGGTTTTGCAAGCACAGCTGCGTTCACCTTCACCTTCACCTTAACCCAGCTTGATATCAAGAAGTGCTGATATCAATAATTTTACCAGAAATTGATAATCTGAAATATGATGAGTGAGAATAGAAATATAATGATGAACTACTGGCTTGCCTTCTAAAATATCAGGTTAAGAATTCACATCACAACAATCATAGAATTCAGTTCTGAATGCTGCTGAGAAAATGTTCATTAGATAAGGTTCTGAACTTATATTCTTGGGCTTCATTAATTTCAAAAATTTCAATATTTTTTATGAACGATAAGGATTTTGGGGACTTTAGATTAGACGATCGAACTAAATGCTATTTGATATTTTTATTATGAAGCAACCCATCGAATGTTTTTTACTAATTGTAGTTATGATATTCTGACTTTTTTTATCAGCAAGGGCTGGAAGACATATTATATTATCATATTTTTAACTTTTCGTAGGATAAATTATAGTAATCGCCAAAAATCGATCATGATCAAAAATCTAATTTTTCAGTTACCAAAATTTTTCAAAGCTTTTTTTAAAAAAATAATTTTTGGTACGGGATGTTGATATCAAGTTCCACCGTGTTCTTTGAGATCTTCTAAGCTTTCTAGTTTCAATTTCTTTCTAATATTTAGGAGATACCATAAGAGCCATGAAGAGCGGACTTTTTCAAAATTTGCTAGCATATTATATGTGATTTTTTGATTATTACCAACAAACTTGGTCCCATTAAAATGATTAATGTCAATAATTGGAAAACAGTTTACATTTCCTACTACAATGATACACCTTGCAGACATCTGCGAGTGGGTTAATATTGATTATTATGAACTTGATACAATATATTGACATTATAGAAGTTTAGAAAAATATATTTTGGCTATCTTAAATGATTATCTGTTCAACAATAGTTACTCATTTATATTCGCCCACGGAAATTTAAATTTTTAATATGCTGTATGTACTGTAATATATATTTATGCGAGAAGATAAATGCCTGGACTTGAGGTATCGAGGACCCAATACTATGACCCACGGTTTTGTTTGCCAATAAATCATATTTAACTGCCCACATGGAAATTAATTTGGATACAGTTTTTGTTTATCATTGGAGTTCCCTGGTTTATGAATATTGGAGTTAATGTTTTTGCACAATTTCATTTCTTTTACTTAGTCTTATCAAATAACTATAGCTTTTTTGAAAGTGGTGCAGCCCTTTTTGAGAGAATTTTGATGGAATATAAATTTTGGCTCACATACACACATATTTATAAAATAGGATCCGACACTTTTGAAAGCTGGAGAATTTATCGGTTTATTGGATTACAGTGAAAAAGTCATAGTTTTCACGAAAATAATATTGAAATTTCCAAAAATTTCCAAAAAATTGCCCAGGGCTGCTGTCGCAAGGGTGTAGGATTACTGGAGGCGTTGCTTTATTGAATTAGTGAGATTCTACTGCGTATGCTTTTTCCAAAGTTGGTTTCAAATGATTTAGAATGACTTGAAATGTCGAGAAAATATAAAATTTGTAAGCCGGATTTTCTAGTAAAAATAGAAAAATATTCTCATTTAGAAAATTAATTATATTTGTAATAAAATTTATAAATATCATATTAGAAGTATGAAATTAATCATGGCTAAATAATATAATTTATCATTTTAACTTCTAATAAGT